TGCAAATGCATGTTTCGTCTTTATGAGTTATGCCTGAATGGGAAAGAGCTTTCCGAGGGAAGTCATCTGCCCGATTTAGTTTTCCCCCCCAGCAACGCATTTGGGAGCGCTTGCTTTTTTTGCTTTCATTCGCGATGACGCAGAAACAATGCCTCAAACCGTCCACGGCCGTAAAACCCTTTCCAGGCCATCAGAGTGAAGCTCTTTATTGCGTAACAAAAACTTCCCATTTACAACTTTTGAACGCTTTAACTGATGGAGCCATGTGCGCTGGAGGCGTTGCACACGCTGGGGAGGGGAGGCAGTGTTCGTCGTCGCCATCTCAGCAGGGCCAAGTGGGGCAAGAACAGGCCAAGCGCTCATCGGCTCTTCTTGGCCGATTATGCAGAAGCGTTTCAGTTATCATAGGCAACACCGAGGAGTTTTGGGCTCTGAATTACTTATTTATGTATGAAAATGTCAACCAGTAAACAGTGTGTCAAGTAGATCCTGAGGAGGGCTCGCTTCAATATCCGAATGCCCACAAGCGAAGCGAGGGCTGCAGGGGGGTGGTCTGTGGTGTGTTCAGGAGCACACCGCTGTGCCAGCATCTAACAGAGCCATGCTTCGGCCCCTCCGCCCCCCCGGCAGCTCCCAGCCCACGGGCAAGGGCCCTGCCCTCTCCTGCTAGCCAGCCCTGGCTGCTGCAGAAGGCAGACTACTGTTCTTGGGCCTTGCCTCGTTTGGTTTTTTCTCTCTTCTACACAAGCAAGGCTGAACATGGCACTGGTTGCAAAAGCCCTCCTGGCTCCAACAAAGAACTTCTGGTATAAAACTAGTATTAGCAACTAAAAAGCATCCCCCAGGCAGAGGGGTGGGAGGCAGCAAGAGACGGACGCTGCACGCACGCTGGCAGAAAGCTGTAGCAGCAAGTCTGTTCAAGCTGGTGGAGCTCAACAGGCATAAACTAGGGGGTGCTTGGTTCAGAAAAGGCTTCAAACTCATCGTGTCCATGACTGAAAAACACCAGCCCCTGTCCCAGCATGGTGGGGCTTGGCTAATTGCTGCTGTGCTTCTCGCTCACCCCCATTCTTTCTCCCCCTGACTAGCTGAAAGGAAGACACAAGTGCACTTTGTGTGGGAAAAGCCCCTCCAAATGCAAGCAGAGGCTCCTCCTGCCCTGCCTACAACTCTTTGTATTTACAGGGTGGCCCCATCTTACATTCAATGCCCCCCCTGCCACGCCAGGTGAGAAGAAAGCTGCACAGAAGAGCCCAGCCAAAGCCCCTGCCCCATGGCAGATAGGGGCAAGCAGCTGTGCCAATGGCGGGGAGGGGGAATGTGCACCCCCTGGGCGTGAGCACTCATTTCTTTCAGCAAAAGGAGACCTGGGTGGCTGTTTTGCATCTGGCAGGATGCTGGCTCAAGGCCCGCCGCTCTAACAGGCTGGCCTCCCACCTATGGGGAGGTCTACACCCATGCTCCCCGCAGCCACCACACAGTCACTTGGGCGCGAGCAAGGCTGTTGCTGTGCCAGGACCATCGTCCCCAAGGAGAGCTCAGGTAAGCGCGGTGAGCTGGCCTGCCCGGCCAAACATGCTGCAGCAAGGCCACCCCACAATATGGCTGGGAGCGGTGGGGGTGTCTTACATCTCCTGACGTTTCAAGAAGCCAGAGACGGACACGCTCAGCAGGGGTTGCTTTAATGTTGCCTTTTTTGGCATCCCTGCTCATAGATCTTTGGTGTGTTAAACTAGATCACTGTGGAGCCAGCAGGCCGGACCTCAGCATTGCTCTTGGGTGCTCAACAGTTGGCCGGCTGGGGGGAAGCAGGCTTGAACTAGGCCTGTGGCACAGCTTATCGCACGTGCAGCATTCCTCTACACAGGATGGGGTTGGGGTGGGAGGGTTAAAGAAGACCATTATGCACAATCACCCAACACTTGAGCACTCACGAATGATGCTTCCCACAGGAGGACACCAAGTGACACGGAACCCAGCTGAATGTGCAGGTGAGGTAGATCCACATATGGCACATGGCAGCTGTCAGTGGTTGTGGTCTCTGCTCGCACCACCCTGCCAGGCATAGCGTGCCCTTGGCTCCTGCTCTGCCCCAGTTCCTTGCAAGAGTGGCAGCGGGCTTGAGCAGGGCGCAGGACCTGGGGCTAAGTGAAGATCAGGGCAACTACGAGAGCACAGGACTGGGTGTTAAGGCAGGGCTCAAGCTCGTCTTTTTTTCCATTTTGCAGCCTGTCCGAGAGCTGGACATGTACCGTGTGAATGGTGAGCGCTGGGCATAGTTGAGGGTTAATCCCTGAACAAAACTTGTATATAACTGTGGGTGAGACACAGACATGCCACCAGTTCAGCCTTTCTGCAGCCAATTTCTCTCTCCCACTCACTTTGGAGAGAGAAGGAGAAAATGAAACAGAAAACATGCTGCTTATCAAAATGATGGTAAGAGCTGCTCTGTAGAAAATTAAATACCTACCCTAAGTCAAAGCTTCATCAGTAACTATTCTTAGTGTCACTGTCACTCACAGCCTGGGACAATTTAAGATTAGCCTATTCCCGTCCCTTCCTGTTAGTCACTGGCCAGTCAGAGGGATGTACAGAAGGAGGAGGAAAGCGGGTTTAACAGGCTGGCTGTGGGAGTGTGCAGCCTGCCCGGGGAGGAGGCCCCACACTCACCACACCTGCAGAGTGGCAGCCCCCACCCCTCGCCCTTTGGAGAAGAAACTGTGCCAAAAACATGAAGCTATTCTGCTCAGCATGTCTATGGTCTTTTTAAAAAATGTTTACAAATATATATATTTTTATATGTATATGTCTTTCTTAAATTCCATTTAGAAATGTAGCTAAAAAAAAAAAAAAGTAGAAAAGCATTAGCGAGCCTAGGCCGAGACCAGCAGGCTGCTGCGCTTCCCACGTATGAAGGCACGAGTGTGGAGACACACCTGCGGCCAGGCTTAATCCCACTCCTGACGGAGGTGTTCTTGTCCTTTTTGTACCCCTTTGTACCCCGACCCTTCACATCGCATAACTAAAGGAACGGTGCCCTCCTACAGCCATACGGAGAAGCAGGAATCCTGCCTGTGCTCCGGGCTTCCTGCAGGTAAGAGCAGCATGTGGTCCACGGAAGGGTTTGCAGGAAAGAAGCCTGGCATCCTCTTAACGTGGTGCTTTCAGGCTGGAGGGAATAGAGATCAGCTCCTTTGTTCACAGGGCCTGCTTCTCTTCTGCATTCAGCTTCCTTTATGGTATGTGGGCAGGACGAACGGTCCTTAAAGCCAGCACAAGCGTAACTTGCACTCACATTCACATCCAAAGCAGAGGAAGGGGTCATACCACAATTAAGAATTATGCCCTACATGTTAAATGGAAGACATTTAAAACACCAGGCTATTTAGAAGATACTCCGTGCTTCTTCTAACATGCACAACACACTTCAGAATCACCGGGGATCAGCTTCTGGCCTAGATTGGCTCCTCAGCATGGTCAATGGTACCAATCCTTGTGCATGGCTTTTTGAGCAGTCCAGCACACGAGTTGAATTCTAGAGTTTCTCTTTGCTACTCCTCTTCCTACAGATTGCTCTTTTGCTTTTCAAAGGAAGGAAGCCTGCCTCTTTCCACAGATGTCTACAAGAGAGGAAAGTAAGACTCTGAAGTAACAGCAGCTATATTGCAGTTTCAGCAGCACTTTAAAGTAAGTGGCACAGCATTATTAATTCATTGGTGCTCACTTTTACATCGTTTATCATAATGAGCTACTGTGGTATTCATGTGGCTGCATGATGTGTATTTCCAAAGAAATTTCATTGTGATTTATCAATTAATTAGCGGGCCATTACAGTTTATTAAAGTGTTACCCAGAGTCTTAAACATTCATTACTGCCTTTAGAGCAAATGCTTTAACTCCATCTCAGCTAACCAGTGTCTTGCAAGCGGGCTGTTCTGCCAAAAGCTCTTTTGCTTTTCATGGTGTCAAGGACCGCAAAGGAGCGGTACCAAATAACCAAGTGTGGATTTGATCTCTCTGGCCTCATTCACCCAGCCCCAGCCAATGCACAGCGCAGCATTTTCACATCTTTGCTAAATGGATGGGAACAGGGCGGGCTGCAGAGAAAACCCGCCCCTTGGGTTACTGTTGCTGAGTTTCAGTGTCTTACCAATCGGTTCACAGAGAGCAGGTAAAAGCAGGAACCCAGGTAATTCAGTAAGTACATGCACGAAAAAGCAGGCAAGCTCTGAGAGGTTTTCTCCTGAATGATCCCCACAGACGGGGGCAGGGGGACAGCACAGGATTGCTACATTCAATGCCAGCTTCTCTGAAAAGGCAAGCCCATTGAATAGGGAGATTTAAGTGAGAACGGCAGTACCAGCCCTGTGAACTGACCGTGGAGGAGATGTGGCATTTTGATCACCACAGTAAGAAGTCACCAGCAGCCAGGCCTCATCCAGCATCCACCTCTGCCGTTCTGCAGGCTGGCAGCCGTGCCACAAACATCCATTCTTTTGCCAGAACAAAGACCAAGAGAATGTTATTTTTGATTTTTTCCATGCAATTCCTTGCATCTTTTTCTCTCCCAGCCTGCAGTTTCTGGAGGGTGCACTGTCAGAAGCGGTGGCAGGTGACAGGTCAGTCTTAAAAAAGGGAACGTGTGTATGTGTGCAGGCCTAACAGCCATGTCTGTACAAGCCAATTCCTTATTAATTGAGGTTTCAGCAGCTATTTATCAGAAGGGGGAAAGAACAGGTGAAGAACTGTTCATTAAAAAATAAAATAGGCACAACGATAAAAGATGAGGCTGTTACATTTTGAACCAATGGCACTGTGTTGACAGCACGACCTTCCCCTTCCAAAGCCCTGCCACAGCCCCTCCGATGGCTATGACACTGCCATTCTGAGACAGAGAGGAGAGTTTGCCACCAACACAACATGGAGGAGAAAGCAAAACAAAACAGCAGCCCTTCCTGCTCCTCTCCCCACCCCTCTCTCTCCAGCCCCCCCATCCTCGGCTAAGAGAAGACCTGGCTGTGCTGCTGGGTGACCCGGATGAACGTTGTTCTCCTGCTCAGTTCCTTGAGTTTGGCAGCTCCCACGTAGGTGCAGGTGGAGCGCAGCCCCCCAAGGATGTCCAGGATGGTGAGTTCCACGTCCCCTCTGTACGGCACCTCCACAGTTCTGCCCTCTGAAGCCCTGGAGAAGAGATCAGTCACTGCACTTATGTCTAGGTGCAAAACATAGTACTGTGTTTACCGGAGCAATGTGTAGCTTAATACGCTGCATGCTGCAGCTTACAAATGTTCCCCTCAGCATCATTGCTTGCTTGCCTGGTGCTGCTTTGTGCTCTCAAGCATGGAAATGCCTCAGCTCCAGCCACCACCAATACTGGGAACTAGAAGCAGACAAATCTTGTAGATGCCCCAATATCCCACAAGCGTCTTTACGGCTCTGCCCCTTCCTCCCCTCCACCATCTGCCTAGAAGGAAGTGAAGCCTCCAGGTTTACTGAAAGGTAAATCTGATCTTGAGAGCTGCAAGCTTTAAAGTATAAGGAACGGCCAGGCTCAGGCACCTTACAGAAGTGTTGGAGCTGCTTCTCAGCAGGCACCCCTCAGCACAGCTCTACATCGGCTTCACAGCCCCTGGGCGCTGGCCCATGTCACTGACCAGATGCAGACAGAAATGCTCCGTCTGTCTCCTACCAGCCTGAGTCTCCAGAGCCCACAGTAGGAAACCTGTCACAGAATCCCCCTGCAGAGCTGTCTCCTGAAACTACACGGTGAGCTAGCGCAGTTCAGAGCCAGGCAAAAAGGCCAGAAAATATGGTCACGTACAGGCACGTGCCAGTGCAGACTGCGCCGTTCCCAAAAGCGCATCTGAAGAGCTGCACGATGGAAGAATCCTTCAGTCCTTCAGC